CAACATAACATAACATAAATAACATAAATAACATAACATAACATAACATAACATAACATAACATAACATAACATAACATAACATAACATAACATAACATAACATAACATAACATAACATAACATAACATAACATAACATAACATAACATAACATAACATAACATAACATAACATAACATAACATAACATAACATAACATAACATAACATAACATAACATAACATAACATAACATAATATAATAAAATATAATATAATATAAAATTCATACAAAACACTCAATTTTTTATACTGTTTTTGCAAGGGAAATATTTAAAGCAAAACACTTGTTAATAAGTACAAAATCATCTTCATTGTTGAATATTTGCTTTTTAGAGAATTGCGTTTGATTTATGAACTTATTTATTTGTAAGGTGGGGGGGAGGGGTGCTTGTTAAAAATGAGCGCTTGAGCGTAATGAAGTTTGCTTAGTTCAATTCAGTTCAGATTTTATTTTTAAATTCCACTACAAACAATTTATCGATAATAGCTACTATTACAAACAACTAAACTACAGGAATTACACAACAATATAACAGTAAATCAATACATTAATCAATACAGAAAATTAATACAATGGTACAAAACATAGAAACAAGATAGATTGTATGGAGGGAATTACTTAAAGGAGGAGCTCTCTCAGAAGTTAGACTTATCAAGGAGAGAGCACCCCCTATTTCAAATGTATCTCATACGAATTTCATTTCTTCCATTTATATCATGATGATGGCCAACACTCGAGCCCAGGGCAACCCACAGCCGCAGACACAGGAAACCCCCAACCAGCAACCCAAGGCAAACAAAGCCGCAAAGGGCCCCCAGAACCCAGCCGCTTAAATAAATTGCCTTTTTGCTGTTTGATGAGACGCAGGAAATTAACCAAATTGGTATCAAAAAGACTAGTAGCATGTTCAAAAATCGGGCTTGCTAGAGCTGGTGTTCTTGCATTGGATCTTTAGAATATACGGAAAAAAATAAACTTACCAGGGCAAGAGGAGCGTCATCTCGATCGTATATCAAACCAAATCTTTTCCAATTGAATCTGGAAAAAAGATGAATTCTCGCCCAGTTGAACATCTCCGTGGATGGGACTGTTCGGAAAAAGTACGGGAACTCCAGCAGGTTGTTAAAGTACGCATAAGTAGATCCAAAGGAAATCTATAAAAGGATTTCAAGGTCAATTATGATTGCTGAAAATCAAGCCACACATAAGGACTTTATAGCCAGCCCTTACACGCCAGCCCTTACACGCCAGCCCTTACACGCCAGCCCTTACACGCCAGCCCTTACACGCCAGCCCTTACACGCCAGCCCTTACACGCCAGCCCTTACACGCCAGCCCTTACACGCCAGCCCTTACACGCGCCCCATTGTAATACTCCTAACAAATTAAGAAACTGGAGAAGGCAGTAGAGTTTAATTATCATTAGGGTTCAAGAATAAATAGATCTCAATCTTCCCATAAGCACAAATCCAACAAATTACTAGAAATTGGCAGATCTAGCAATTTCGTCAGAGCAGAAGAGTTGGTGACAAACGCAAACGGTTCGACGAACGAGTTGCCCTCGGATTTTCGAAAGATGCAATTGTTTATCAGCAAGATCGAGAGTATCATGAAAAACGGCTAGAAAAAGAAGTTGAATAGGGATAAAACCAAGAAGGAACATGATAAGAATAAACATCTAAAAGTGGAAGAAAAGTGGAAGATCTGATCTCACCCTAAACCAAGTGACACTTTACTAAGTGACCTTTAACTTAGCGACCCTTTTCTAAGGGATCCTTTTCTAAGCGACCCTATACTAAGCGACCCTTTACTAAGCGACCCTTAATTAAACCAAGCGACCCTAACTAAGAGACATTTAATTAAGCGACCCTTAACCAAGTGACAAATCGACCCTTTACTAAGGGACCCTTAACTAAGCGACCATTAATTGAGTGACCCTGTACTAATCGACCCTTTACTAAGCGACCTTAAACTAAGCAACCCTTAATTAAGCGACCCTTCACTAAGGGATATAAGCGGCAGAGGAAGATTTGTGATCAAAGCGATGCTTCATTCACGTTTCATCTACTCAAGTTGAAACTCAAGTTAATAACAAATTTCGTATGTTCTCCTTGAACTGAGAGATACAACAGCAGGTAAGCAGGTTTCAATAAGAGGATTACTTCTAGCTGCAGATTTACACGCTAACTTGGCATCTCAAATTTTCTGGCCGTTGATAATTTTACTGTTATATTTCTATTTGCTATCAGTTTCAAAGACTTTGATAATTTAAATCTGAATGTGTAGTATAGATTTACAAAGGATTAAAATTATCTTGCTAAGTAAATTAAAAAGCAGTCAATACGCCCAAATCTACTTGAAGATTTCAAAAGTAATGATTAACAGCTGCTGCGTTTTTCTCTTTTTTCAAACCACTCACGCAAAAGCCAAGTTTGCTTACTTGAGGAACAGCTAAAACTTGCAATGCCTCGGCAATCGGTTGCAGTGCTTTTGTAAAAACAGGGCCGAGAAATGCAACTTTTTTTGGCTTATCTTGCATGAACAGGCCAAGATGCTGAATTGCATAAGCTGCCATTTCCTAAAAAGCAACCAATCACTATCAGTGGGCGTACGACAGGGCAACAAGGAAACCAACATATACAAGTTATAATGACTACGAAAAAATCGAGAATAAGAATTTTGGTTGATCTTGATACATACGCTAAATCAATAGCTGAATGAATACAAAAACCATTTTAAGATTGTAATATGGAGCCGATGCTACAGGATACAAAATTCTACAGGGTAAAGTAACGCCAAACGTAAGATGTACAAAAAGCTTACAAAAACATATTAGATAAAATTACATGCACTAAGAAAGTTTTTAAGGGGAGTGGGATGCATCTGTCCTCAAACGAAAACAAATGTCTCGAGGTTAAATGTTTCTCTGAGATATGTTTGGGCGGCTACCAACTAGAATCACACCTTGCCCTACATTCGAAAAGAATTGCTTGAATTTTAAGCCATTAAAATCTATAATAACTGGATAACATTGGCGCCGTAGAGGGAGGCTCGGGGGCTCAGCACCCTTGCTAAAATCAAAAGTGGTTATGGGGGCAGGAGGGGGGGGGGGTGGCTTAAACAAGCCAGTATGACTTGTTGCAAAAAGATACCTTACTTGGCAAAGTGAATTAACCCTGTTTTATAGTTTTATATGTTTCCAAAACGTACCATTGTATCTCCGATATCAAGTTCAATCGTGTAATTATCTGGTATAACATGATTGTCATTTATCCAGTCTCTTGCCATTTCAATTGCAGTCGTATAACCAAAATGGTCGTCATTTGCATAGCTTGGTATGAAACAGCCGATACTGAGAGACTTTTTCTGTGGACTAGTACCAGAAGCTTGAATCCTTGAAACTAGGACGGCGATCATAAAAACAAAAACCAACATCTTGCTGGTCACCGCTTATCTTCGATAACGATTCATCAACTGCAAGACAAGGGGAAGCGTCACAATAATGTACTTTTCAACACACAAAATATCTTCAAAACATCTAAACATTTGCCTACATCGAAAACCTACGCAAATCCCATTAAAACTCACTTAAAAGAATCAAAAACTTCATCTAAACATTTGTCCCATCAAGAAAATAATCCAACACCCATATACACGCCCACCAATAAAAAATTTCACCCATATCCTCAAAACTATCCAAAATTGTCACCTACACATTACCTGCGCCCACCAAACCATTAAAAAAAATAATTAAAAATGTCATGCAAACATTACACCTACAGCCTACACAGCGGCATACCGTAAAAATGTGCGAATAAAGGAGAGGCCACGATAGCAGGCTGCTTGACGAACTCCGGAGGAAATCTTGCGGCGAAAAATCGATAAAATAGTAGTATATAAGGAACACCGCAACGCGACGAGAATAAACAACAAGAAACACACAAATCAGTGATGGCTAATATTTCGCCCCGGCATACGGGGCTTCATCAGAGCAAAAGTGAAAATACTGTAAAAATCAGACCCAAAAACCCTATTGCCTATTTGCTATATGTTATATTTGGTATAACTATATGTTAGTTGAGGTCTATTGCTATATGTTATATTTGAGGTAAAAAATCCGAAAAATCGGTTTCCAAGCCAAACTTTCTTTAAAACATCAAAAATTAACAATTTATTTTATTTTGCATTAACTTGGCATCAACGGCATCATTGCATGCCAGAAATACATGGAATCTTTGGATGGAGAACCTTTCATCATATTCAGCACCACAAATATAACATTTACACTGTACAAGTACCATTTAAGGTACATATTTAACAATTTTTAAGCTTTTGATACTTATTTGGTACCAAAGGTATCTGGGCATTCCAGAAATAGTGTTTTTTTAAATCTTTCTGCTTGGGAATGTCATTTTCGGATTCAGCAACTCAAAAGTAGCATTATATTTTGAAAAGCTATAGGTTTTTTTAAACGTAGTGGCCTTGGTGATGCTTCCTCTTTAATGGCATTAATGGCATGTCAGGATAGTTGAAAAGTCAGGTTGCACAGGATAACCATTCGACACACACTAGAAAGAGGTCTGAATGATTCAACCATCAACTTACAAAAAATACCTTATAACACCTGAAATGCTTCCTTTGCCTGTCGAGATTTGCTTGAGAACTTGTGACCTAAAGCTGTCTTGTCGGCAAACCTGACATCTGGCAGTTACCTTTATAGCGCACAATTTTTGAAGCATATTTTCTCCAAAAAATTACGACACACAGAAACTGTGCACCCGTTGATGGGAAGGGCGTCTTTATTCACAGTGCAGTTACTGCGTATGTGTATTACTGTTTCATAAGAGAAGCGAGCTGCGGAAAAACAGCGGCTGAAGAGGTTTTCGCTTAAATGTATTTATGGTCAATAGGGCCCGAGCATTTCCATGCAATAATTGGCAACATAAAGGTTTTGCACTAACACTACATCAAGCTTATGAATTACCTCGTTCTTTATAAAATTTTCTAAAACAAAATATTTCACTTCTTGGTCTCCTCTTTCTTAGAAACAAGGTTTCCGGACGTTGCCAAGTGCAATGCTTGATGCAATATAATCCTGTATTTTCGGCAGGCCAAATATAATCAGAATGGGGATAACTTCCTCTATAAATATGGCTTTTGGGTTAATTTTTCCTATGAATATTTGATAAAAGCAAAATAATTGGAACCATGAAGTAAGCTGATAGCGTTTTGTGTATAAACATGCCCAATGAAAAAGCGATTGATATAGTTCCGCTCAGATACAGTAGATAGGGAACCAAAGAAGTACCGATCATATATCGTGACACTTGCTTATCTACTGTAAAATATGATATCTAAATAGCATCGTGACACTTCTCGATTTGATCCTCTTCAATCCCTGGCACGTCAATATTTTAACGTAAATGGCAAACCAAAGCCAGTGAGAACCAAACTCCACATTACAATGTTTCAGGGTTGGGTGCGCGAATGACGAGAATAGCGTTCCGCCCCAGGCCCGTAGACAGATAAACTGGATTCGGGGGGGGGGCATGGATAGAAATATAGCTTTTCCTATACCTGCCTTACGTAATACTGTCAGATCAAGCTGCGCTTATAAGATCTTCAAACACCAATTTCGCAAATAATTGGGGGGGGCATTGCCCCCCTGCCCCCAGTGCCTACTGGCCTCATGATAAAGGTAGAAAAAAATATTGCTCCAATGAGACATTTTCCAGCGAAGTGGAATCATCAAAATTCGAAAAGTTCCTCACCTTCTGCGGCAACCATGGTGCTGCCTCAGGTATTAACTTTCGTGTACTTGTTTATTGCGACACGAGCATCTGCAAGCTAGCAAAGACCTAGCCTACCTAAGTAAAAGTCTATTTAATGATTAAATTGTATTACTGTATTAAATTGTATACTTTGAGTACTATTGAATGTCTTTTTCCTTACCCAGAAAAATTTAGAGCGTTGGGAATATTGTAAAATCACAGAAAAAGATCTACAAAGAGCTTTCTTAATATGTCTGTTTTCTTTAAGGGACATTTTGTTAAAAAAAGGAGTCCCCCAAAAAAATAATAACTCCGCTCTGAAGATCTGCTCTTTCTTGTTTGTTGAATTCATATTTTGTTGTAATCTCGATGTTTGTGCGTCCTTTTCAACTGGGATTCCATGTTTTCACTCCGATTGCCGAGCCCCCCTGTCGGAAGTTCAAACTCCTCCGTCAGAGAATTTCTAGCGCCACCACTGCCCCGTACTGTAAAATAAAACAACAGACCTATCCTTGACAGTTTGAGGTATCGAGCAGTGCATTTTATTCCTAGTTTTATACTAAAATAAAAAATCGTTCACGATAGCGAGTTTTTGAGATATCGGGTTATCTAGACAGTGGGTTTCAACTGTACGTACTAAAGGAACTAAAGGCCAAGCACCAAAGACTGGTTCTACTTGTAGTGGGAAATTGAGAATGCAAATATGACTTGCAAAGAAAAAAATTCGCTTTTTCAAAAACAAAACGGTGAAGGCAAAGAAGCTTGTGCGAAAGTTCCGACACAATGTTCTATTCCTTTTTCACAAATAAGTTCAACAAGCTTGAAATTAACATGACCAAAATGGAAGAAATTAAAACGCCTATTGTAATTCAGAGTTGCCCAAAACAGTCACTGGGACTTTTGATGGGGAGGAGCTGATCCTCTAAGCTGTCCTGTAGTATGATTAAATGTAATTAATCAACACAAGTAATAAGCATGCTAACCTCGCTTTAAATTTCTTGTTACTTCTTGTCTCTGGTTTAGTAATTCAGTCACTGATTAATTCTACTCAACTAGGGCGGTGCCAAGAAATTCAAAGTGGTGGTGGTGGGGGGGGGGGGGGGTCTTGAGTTGATAGCGATATCAGACTAAGAAACCACCCTTTGAAAAATGCACTAAAATCTTTCCCGATAAATTTATGTCTATTATTTCATGGGGCAATCGTTATGCTAGCGGCACATTGGAGGGGCCGGCGAGAGGCTGTCAGAGGCCCTAGGTATATTTGAAAAACGAGGGAAAATTATTGCAACCACGCCCTTTATGTTTCTTACATTTCAAAGAATACATTTCAAAATATTTCTTACAGTCATTTTCTTCCAATCGTCTAAAAAATTTCATCACGTTTGATTAATTCCAGTCTTAAAATGAAATTCATTACTTAATGAGGCCCAAAAGACTTAAAGCTTATTTCTTGAAAATTAAGTATTAAAAGTATTTACCACACTATTATTTTCTTCTAATTTCTTTTCTTTCATTCTTTTCAATTTCTTAAAAACGCTTCTTGCAAATGCACGAATTATTCGATTTTATTTTCACTCTCGAACCAATTCTTGTTACACAAAGTGACAGGAAATTGTAAGGAAGCGTTACAGCACTTCTAGGCAAGAAGCCAACGGCAGGGACAAAGGGGCATTGCCCGCCCAACTAGAATTTATTGCCCCTTTGTACCCGTCCAAAAATTTTAAGATGAAAACATGTTTTTGTCTAAAAACTTAGAAAACGGCGTCTTTCTACAGGACTGTCGAAAAAAGTCGGTCTCAATAAGGTCTGTTCATCTGTGCATGCTTCAGCCTGCGTTGAATGCTTGTTTTCGGCACTGAGCAGGGTAGATTCTCCCAACAGAGACTCCAAGCTGCAAAACGAGACTCGATCTTCCTTCATTTTGAACGACAATCTTTGATATCACTGCATTTTTATGACTTTTTAAAAATGTTAAGGCGCGGGTGTAGCTACGAAGCAACAACGCCTAATTTAAGCTTAAGCCGTGTCTAACAGACACAATAAATTTCCTTTTTGGCGCACAGAAAGCTCGACATGTTGTAGAAAAGACTCCTCTCCGTCCTCCGGTGTGGCAATGAAGCAACAACGCCTAATTTCAGCTTAGCCTATGCATAATAGACATGCACAATTTTCGTACAGGGGAAGCGGCAATTTCTGCTGAAAAGCTAAAATCTCATGCTGTTAAATCTTTGTAAAACCCTTGGGTTACACTATATAGTAAGTGCTCTATAACAAGAGTTATCCTCTGGGGTGATCGCACTCCGAGAAAATCACAATCAAAGGGTTGAGATCCTCAACAAAAAAGTTCCGACTTCATTTTCGGGCCTTTTGCTATTTGTCATCGTGAATGCGCATAAGAATTATTCAAAAAATTACAAACAATCTTTTGATGGTACAAAAATTAAAGATGGCTTTGAAAAAAAACAAACATTTGAGTATAGAGGTGTCAAGAGGTGATTTTTAGAATTTTTAAAATTCGCTCCCATAACCTGAAAGAGCATCATGAAATACCTCTAAATCTGCAAAATCAGTTAAAGGAATTATTAATTGGCTGAGATATGAAAAGATGAGCACAGGCTCTTGCTCCATCACACCTCTCTAGTTTGGTCTCAGTCCATAACTTTATGAACTCGTTATTGTAACACGCCAAAATCTTCTACGCCAAAATTCGCCATCTTGGTTTTCAGAATGAGTAGGCAGTGACGTCACGGTAGGGACCCTATCGCCTCCTACTTCGAGTTTTTGTATCGTAGTCAATGAGGGAAATCTAACAGGTCCAAGATGAGCGATATTTCCAGAAAAAGTAGTGGCAGCGAGGATGAGATTTTTGAAGGTAGCGATTACATTGTTACAATAACGAGTTCCTCCCATGACGTCACAAGAGAACGGCGAATGATGATAAAGCGACTTGGCTAGGCCGCACTATTTCGCTTAATTTCAATATCAAAACGCTTCTATTTCAAAAAAAGTTCAAATCTACTATAAGAGCAGTGCAACGCTTCAATTAAGAGAATAAAAAAATCATGTCACAGGCACTTTAAAGCAGAGGATCGACAGGAGTTCTGGAATAAATTAAACTTTTGAATTGAACAAAAAGGAAATGGAGCGACTTTAGCAGGTCTTTCTTCGTATTCAATTTGATGACCCGAAAAACATCCAAACGTACTGTAGAGAAATTAAGTGTTTCTTCTGCTATCTCGAAACAATCTAAAAGTGAACGTAAAAACTAATCTTGCGTGTTAAAACTATCTGTTTGACTCTGTAGCTTTTGAAGAAGAATAAAGTGAAAACTAAACTTGATAGTTTCAGAAACAAGGACAGAAAATGTTACGATCACAACAACTCGTCCTCCTCATGCATTCTTCGATCGAATCAGGTATCAAACACGGATCTTAGGCAAGGATTCGTTTATGAAAGTTACAAACTGTTTCTGATTCACGAGTAGTAAAGCCAGTGATATGTGTTAAGATATATAAATTAAAAAAGAAGACCTTTTTATAAATTTGTTGAACATGTCTGTTGAATCTAGTCTATGGAGTTGAATAAAGTTGTGATCTTTGAGCAAATATATTCTATTGTGGTGTTTCAAAGTTTAGAAAGGGTACCTGAGGTGAAAATGCCCACATTTCAAGTATTTTTCGTTAACTATTGCTTTTCTACGCCTCTAATCATATTAACGCTCAAATTAACTGTATAAAAATGTCCTTCATCGTCTGTCTAACCATACATTAGACCTTACAAAGTGATGCCTGTAACACAGTGACAGAATTATAAGCAGTAATTCCCGCGCCTTTGAAATGATACCGTGTGTACTTTCAAACCAAGCATTAATAGACAGGAAAATACCTGCAAAAAACTAACAAACTGCCCGATCTCAGTTTTCTCTTTACTTCGGATTCCTTCATTTCAATGGCTGAAGATCAAATTTCCCGAGGTGGGCCATCGCAAATTGTTTTTTGATTGCACGTGATTCGTGACGTCATAAAGCATGAACAAAAGCGCCAGCAGCAACAGTGACAGCAACAACAGCAATTACTAGGTCGACTTCTCACGTGGAGAAAATATCATTTTCTAGTAGAACACCTGTCTTTCAAGTAAACTGTTTCAACCTGAAAACGCTGTATTATCGCTCTTCGGACTCAGCATTTTACATCGGGACAATTTTGTAAATCAACATAATTATTAGACAATTTCCAAAGAATTTGTGATTGAGCACGTGGCTATGGTTTTTTTGGCGAAGAAACTTGAATAACTTGTTAGGGAGATGAAACCTTTAGTCTTTTGTTTCGAAACAATGCCTTCTCAAACCAATCAGTGCTACAGGGTCATAGCACATGCGCATTAATAACAGTATTCGCACAATTTTCGCACAATGGTAATATTCGGAAGCTTTACAACTTCTTTAGCCAAAGATGAGAAATCATTAACAAAAATACATTTAACACTCAGGCAGTCAAAGACTCAGGCAGTCAAAGACCTTATTTCATTCATGGACTTTTGTCATTATTGCAGGCCCGTCGGAGCCGGGAGGCTTGAGGGGGGGGGGGTGGGGGTGGAGCCCTCCCTCTAGTTGTCAAACTGTAGTATGTTTCCTTTATAACCGTGTACTGAATGAGAAGGAAAACAATGGGCAGTCCCCCCAATATGAATTTCGTTCCGACGGCACTGGTTTTGTCTCTATTAATGAAAGTTTGTGGTAATGGAGAGGCTGGATTATTGCTTAGAAATCTTTTAAATTGAGTTATTATTTATGGGCTCCTATAGCCAAGGGCCCCCGGGTCAGTGACCCCCCTGACCCCCCTCTCCTCAGCACTGGGGACACGCCTCTCCATCTCGGCAGGATCTACAATATTGGTATTTGATTAGAAATGTTGGAGGAGGAGGGCTATTGTTTTGGCAAATTCTTCTTCATGATGTGAATATATGATTTTTATACTGCCTTTAGGTATCCAAATGTTAGCCATGGGCATTATCTGTTGGTAAAATTGGCGTTCCCTGTTTGTGATCGATAACGAAATTTACGTGGTCATCAAGAATGAACACCTTTTATTTTCTAAATATTCCAGTCTGTAATAATTTTCTTTAGCACCAAAAGATGTTTATATTAAATGCCTTATCAGTAGCATGACGTCATCAAAATGGAAGATCAGGACTTTTAAGAAACGCAAAATACAAATAATGTCAATCAAAAAAACGAAGTTTTGTAACTTTCATGCCTTTCCACTGCCAAATAATTTCATTGAAAGTGATCTTTCGTTCACCTGTTAAATATATGTACAACAAAAATGTGGAACAGCTCTCACGATTATGCTATAGGATTCCCTGTCTACAAATGCAAAAATTTTGAGCAATTTGCACGATTCTGTCACTTGGATTTTCTGTCTACAAATGCAAACATGTTAGGCAGTTTGCACGATTGTGTTATTGGATATTCTGTTTACAAATGTATATTCTCGATGACCCACTGCGTGTTTTATAGTTTGCCAATACCATATGCCAATACACATTATACAACTTATGCCAATACGCCAATCAACGTATATTCGACAAATTAGGACAACTTTGAATTTATCGGAGAAATCTTGAAAACAACATTACATATTCATTTGTTTACCCTTTTAAATAAATAAAATGAGAAAATGATTAAAAAATGTAATTGGTGGATTTCCTAGAGGATTCCCAAGAAGGGGACCTCAACGACAACCAATCAAGATTTGTCCCGCTATGATCTATACTAGACATTTATTAATCATGCTTGATTCTAGCAACGTGATTGGTGGATTTCCTAGATAATTCCCAAGAAGGGGACCTCGCTGACAACCAATCAAGATTTGTCTCGTTATGCTTTAAACAGGACACTTATGAGTCGGACAGTTTGGAGATAATCTGGTGTCAGATTTTAAGGCAAATTATAGATAATTTAGAGACAATTCGGGACACTAATAGACAAAGATGCACGATCTTAAGGATAAAAAACGAACTTCGGTCATGTTTTGATTCTAAAGAGGATGAAATTCTGTGTAAAATGATATAAGGAATTATGTTGGCAAAGAGCAATGGGCTGAGACGCATATGCGTTTCAAGCGCTACAGTGTAATCGCGCAGGGCCTTGCGGTGAATGGCGTGAAGCGCATACGCGTTAGACCGGACACAAAGGGGCGGCTGCTCAACCTATCGATAGCAAGATTGACATCTTGTCTTTTGAGTATATCGCATCAAGAGATTTTAATACTGGAGCATTTGATAGAGGTGAATATACAGAATTTGATTTGCATTTTTGTTGTCTATATTGTATCTGCGCGTTGCTGTATTCCACAACTTAGCCATGCACTTCCGCCACTACTCTGTAGCATTTGAAACGCATAGGCGTCTCAGGCTATATAGAAACGCATGTCCATGCAGAAACATGCAATTACTCCAACATGTTCTTTGGTTTCGTTTCCTGTAGCTTAAAAGTTCTTTAACAATCTGATACTAGCCCTCATATAAAGCACTAGATTTTACGAAAGGTAAAGAGAAAGAATTGGGCCTCGAAATCAACCTTGAGGCACATCACAATCAGATTTGAGGGGATTGGAGTAGTCATCATTAACTGTATAAATTTGGTATCCTTATCAGTGAATGGGCGTGAACTAAGTATCAGGTAGCTCTCAGCTTCATAAAAGGTAATACCCAGTCGCATTTTTGCACAACATTAAATGAAATAATATTGATCCTAGAATATTCGCACTAACCGCTGTCAATGGAAATATACTATAGGTGAATTTATCACCGAGTTAAAATTTGAAGGAAAAATCCTGAACTGCCCAAGAATTAGCCCGTTGCCAGCACCGCACGCAAATGCGTGTTTATCGTGAATTGTTTAATTTGATACACGAAGATGTCAGATCCCAGGGGGAGGGTACTCCTATTGAGGCCTGATAGGGGGTCCAAATGGCCAACAATTGGCTCAATTTCGATAATAACACTACCATTTAACATAATCTTATTTTTATTATAGAAAATTAAAAAGATCTTATCTTTCCCGAATCAACAACAATTAATGGCGAAGAAATTTGTCAAAGTAGGACCAGGCGAGCACAAAGAAATGGATGCTACCAAGGGCATAATTTCGGCTCTTATGCTACCATTTGAGGGTTATTGTCAAAAAAGACTACCATTTGAGGGTAATTTTTTATCACTTTAGCTTTAGCTCTTTTTGACCCTGACTGGAATCCCTCTGTTAGGCCATAATGTGAGTACCCCCCCCCCCCGGGCATCAGATACGAAAAAAGAAGTGGAGAACTTGTGTGAAACATGTTTTTCACACCTCATAGTGTGGCGGCTGTGTTCTCCTGAATAACTAATGCGGGCTTCAGTCCAACATGGCAATTTTGCAATCGACAAAACAACATACCAATTATCAATTATCCTTGTCGTTCCTACATCTCACATTCCTCAGTAGAGAAACTGTTCGGAAAAGGAGGTGAATTGGCCTAGTTGCTCGGAAGCGGTTGGCTTAAAAATTAGTAATAAATGAAGGATTTGAAAAAAAACACGAGATTCGTTTATAACTCATCAAGAACAGAGAAGGCCAAGCACAATATTAGTGGTGGCTTACTGTGAATTTAATTTCTGCTCCTAACAATGCTCCTGTCTAGCTTTCAGCATAATCAAGTTAATTTAAGCTACGTACATCCATATCTTTTCTTCGGTAATACACTCTTTTTATTAAGAACAATTTTATAAGAACACGAGCCTCAAAACTGGTCAAAAGTTAAGAACAAATTAAGAACAAGCTGAGGCTGAGCATCTGCAAAATGCAATTTTGAACAACGTTTTTTCTTAAAATCGAGGAGTTTTAGCAATGTGTGGGTGCTTTTTCGGTGAATATTCAAATTTGTCAGCAAATTAAGGCTCTCACACTCACTTTGTTGGCAAATGAGACCTGAACACCTCCTTGGAGCGAAAAAGCTAGCAATAGCACTGCTTACACCCTCTTAATTTGAGAACAAATTAGGAACAATCCAGCCTCAGCTTTTCGAAAAAATAAAGAACAGTCAGCCTGAACTTAAATTTACTAGTTCTTATAAAAAAAGAGTGTACGCTGTTTTTTCTTATTCTAACGTATTTAAAGAATGTTATCCCGACTGGGCAAATTCCTTACGAATATTGTGTGAATGGGCTTTTCTGTACTTTCTTGAAAAAAGTATGTTCAATCTTTTAATGGTCACCAAGTCAGATAAAGGAAGAAAATGAACTTAAAAAGTAGAATGGGGGCAGATTTGACGAGTAAGGTTGAATTTGACGATGAATGTTCACTATTTAGAGCCGATGGTAAATCAAGACTTCAACCAGTTGCTGAAAGCAAATATTCCCCGAGGGCACTGCTAAGTCACAAAACCATGACGCCAAAGAGGACTTCAAAATGTCAACCCCTTTATTCCTCACGGAAACTACCAAGTAGCAAAATCATATCCTTCGAGTGAACTGCAAACTAGCAACCCTGTAATTCCCTAAGGTTTGAAACACCACTTTCCTTCAAAGGAAGAATCACTAATATGAAGAGGCAGGGTCATAAAGCTGTGCCATTATTTTTCATGTCGATCACAATTAACCAAATATTTAAGTATAGATGCCAGTAATTATCTATGCAGCAAATACTTAAAAATCAACGAAGTCCTTCAATTAACATCACCCATCTGCGAATATCCTGGGATAAACTTATTGCAGTGATTAAAGAACTTGTAATAAAGACACTAAGTTGCAACTCCGGTGAAATTGGACAGATACTTGCATTAAATGATGAAATTACACATAAACGAAATGTACAATAAAGAAAATGGATTAAAACACAAAACAAGCAAAAAGTATATGCCGGGAAATTATTTAAACAATATTTAAATAAATGCTTTCCAGCAATGTGCTGAAAGGAAGCTTGTTCGCTTGCGAAGTGCTAAGAACAGAGTTCACCATCAAAAGACAACGGTGTCAAGAACCTGCATGTTATTAATTATGTCTAACAGAAATCGCAGGCTAAGATGTTCAAGATAAAATCTATATCAATCCACCCGCGCCATAAAACTTTGCAATTTCTTAAAAGTAACAGCTTTCATATAAACAAAATTTTGCGAAGTTCGTCTTCCTTCGGTAAACCCTTAACCCGCTTATCCCTGTATCTTCATTGTAAGAATGAAAATCAAATTGTGGTTTTAGTATCATCTTTTCTCCGGCTGAGCGTAATGACATGTATGACAAAAGCTTAAAAGTCGGAGATTCATCCTCTAAGCATGATGAGAAACTTTGATATTGCTGTTTAAGGTAAAATTGGAAACTGGGGGAGCGTGAATATAGATCCTGACAAATCACTGTGAAGGAAGCCTTCCTTTAGTATGAAGGATCAAATTTGAAACAAATATTCTTGCAAATCTGGACTGCCAAGTATTTCTATACAAAATTTTTAAGAATTTTAAACAAAAAATTAGAAACAGCAGGTG